CGGTTTTCTGCCCACAGCTATTTTTCTTTCAGTGGAAATATGTAGAATGAGGATGAGATTGCATATAGGTTTCAGCACCAGGGGTTGTACAATCGTCTAAAAGACTTTCTGGAAGACAGAAGGAGAGTTCTGATGATTTAGTGAGGCGTACTTTGTTAATACGATGGACACAGCGTCGTTTAGGATGCTCTCTCCAAACACCAGCATATTGAGCACAGGATCCACGTTCAGAGCGTTAAATATGGCGATAGTGGCGACCGGATCCACAGCGGAGATCAGAGACCCAAACGCAAAACTGGAGATGGGAAAAAGGGGGAAAATGAAGACACAGCCTCTCATAGTTTTGCTCAAAACTGCACGAGCAATATTCTCACCTGTCTGTCATTGTCATCTTGTAAATAACATCAGCCTATTCAAGAGACACACGGAAACATAACAGTCATAATTGTTGAGAAATCATACTAAAGGAGCTGTTAAGGTGTGCCAACTAGTCTAACTAGACAAACCACTTAATGACCTCACTTACATGTCTGTTTAGATGGAAAGACATGAGAAAAGCAGTTGATGCCTAACAAAACAGTAAGAAGATACCTGGCCCAGGAAATAGATTCCCCCTCCCACGATGAAGGCTGAGATCGCTGTTCCAAAGACGGCGAATAACGTGATCGAGCCTATGTTCTGGAAGAAATTCCCCTGCGGAATGAGAACTCGACTGATCAATCTGTTCAAATAACTAATCTCAGTATCACTGTATGTCTCTGAATACTGACTTGGCATGAGGGCAACCAATACTACCACAGAACGATTAATAGTGTTTTATTTCATTAGTCTTTCCTTCAAACTTCTACACGGACCAGTTCAGTTCACCCAGTGAAGGATTCATCGGACAGTTGGGATTCAGATTCTTTCTTCTCTTATGTATGGCTGTTTTTTTTAATGATTAAAATTACAGTATTTTTTACCTTATGTAATGAGTATCCAGACTCAAAAATTATTGGTGGTAGAAGTAATAGGAAAAACATATTGGGACGAAACATCTCTTCTTCCTGCGAAAGAAAGAAAAAAAAATGACCAAGTGTACTTGAACAAACAGACTCACATTTTGTGTTTCATTCTGGATACGGTTCATATAGAGTTTAATATAATGTTGTTGTTATTATTAATATTAATATCACAGTTGACTGCATGCCAAGGTCGGTTGTCATGTTTTGTTTTGTTTTGCACTTCCTTTTTAAGTGTTTTTTTTTTTTTTCTTTTCATTTTAACAGATTTTTTTATTATTATTATTTGTGACCCTGGAGCACAAAACCAGTCATAAGTAGCACAGG